CACGATCATGCCTACACTCCTAAACAGGGACGAATAAACTTTGTTAATCAAACAGACATGTAGCCAATTGGCTTTAACAAGAAATGAGCATTTTTTGCTTTAAAAATATGAATCTGGGAATGGCAACCAGGGAATGACAGAGACAAACCACACAGCAGAAGGATCAATGGCAGATCGCAAACCAGACGGCTCTACTCTATCAATGAATAGGATTGTCATTCGTCAGACTTCATATCACTGAGAATGACCGTTTGGTAGCTGAACCAGACAATTGGAAAGGCCACTCCAACAACCGAAAGAAACGACGGATTTTGTTAAAAAATCGGTAATCCATTCAATTCAATAAGTTACATTTTTTGTTTTGGTAATATATTGAGATACTGTTAGAAAAAAGTTACCGTTTCTACAGTAAGCTACCTCCTGTTCAAGATTCTAGTTAAAATCATTTAAACCCTAATATTTAACCAACTCCAACTTTATTATTTTTATTGACGATTTCATATGTACCAAATTGCTTCATGCACTATTAACTATTCACGATGTAGATGCGTAATGATGCGACGCAAAGGGTAGCTAAGATATGTCACTTGTCGCAAGATATACAAGATGTCTCAAGAATATCAAGCCATATTTGAATTCCTGGCTTAAAATCAATTCAAATAATTAAACACTATATAAATAACCGAATAAATGAACATATCGTTTCAATTTTAGGAGGAGCTAATCGCATCATTTCATGCACTTTGAAGTATATGGAATCTTGCAAGCAGGTCATGATTCCATGGCATTATAGTACCTGTGGTGAGATTTTGCAACAGAGAACTACAGGTTCTTTATCATGGAAATATGGCATAGTAAGGTGTTCTCGATTTCTAGAAGCACACAGTGCGGTGTAATTATAATAACGCGGTATAAAAGATATAACGCGATATAATAACTATAATTAGCGCAGTGTAAAGTGTAGAAAAGAAGTTATGTTTAAATACGTAATCAAGTGTGAAACAATTCGATACTGAATAGAGCCTGAAACACGGTCTATACAACTGAACACAATTTGGTCAAACGGATGTTTAACCAGTACCGCCGTTTCAGCCTATATCTCTCGGCTCTTCTTCTGGGCAGAAATGAGTTTGTTTCGCAAGTCCTTCGCGCGGTTCGTATGTTTCGAGTCAAAATAGGAGCTTTTGACCTATGTTTCCGGAACACAGCTGGACGTTCTCATCAGGCCTGTGATGGTACCCGAAGGAAAAATAGTAAATGCAAACACTACGTTTTATCGCAAAAATAAGGCACACCTTACATCAGGCAAAACACCATTTCTAAAGCGGTGTCCCTCATAAATAAAGTGTTGGACAATTCGTGAGTATGACTGGGGAGGACTGCATGTAAGAGCAACATGCATATACCAGAGCGAACATTTAAAAAATCATTTATATCCGTCACATTTCGTCAAGCCATACCGTTTAGCTCAAAACAGAAGACGAATTGAACTGGAAAAACATCTGTCATTGGTGCAAACCGGAACTTGATTCCATCTGGTTGACTCAAACACATAATGTAGTCGATTTCAAGGTTCCTTATGTAAGTAAGTGATACCGTCAACCGCAGCAGACATCAACAGCCAAATCTCAATGAAAATCGCCTTACTTTTCTAATCCTAAAACAACCTCCACCACTTCACCAACGAAATAGTGGTTTCGAACGAAGCCATATACGTCGTTCAGCAAGTCCTCCAAGCGGGAGCGTTTCGTCAGTCTGCAAAGGAACAACAGCGGCCGCGCCAAATTCGACGGGAAATTTTCTAACGACTCCTTCGACGTCCGTTCTGACAGCAACGCCTCCTAAACAGCAACACAAATCAATCTTCCACACCACAAACAAACAAAGTCCTAAAATAACACTGCCATGTTGTGCATAAGAGCAGCCTCGGTATTCTAGAGAATTAGAACAAGCAACAACCAAAATTTGAGATCGTACGAAAATTGTAAGTATAGCATAGTGCAGCTTCATTAGACATAACGACTGGCATGTAACAGGAAACTGTCGGCTATTGAACCAATGCTAGCCAGGCTCGACAGAGCTGCTTATACCTATAACGCAAAGCTACCTTAAAGAAAGATATTTTAACTACACAAGACCTGATAAAAGCGTAGTTACCTCTCGCCCTCTGCTTCCAGGCAGCGGATAACACTAAATGAGTTAACTGATAAGAACTACATTATCTAGACTCCACTAAACGTGACAACGGTCGAAGTTTCGTCCACAAAGAAAAAACACAAAACAGCCAAGGAAATTGCAAGTCTTCAGGGCATATGATCGTCATCTTCCACTTCATGAAAAAGATGACGAGGGAGATGATGACAAAATAGAGAGCTGGTGTTCGAACTAAGGGAATGAAGAGGATCTGGAATGCATCGAACCGAACAGTGTATTATTTAATAAACCTATTCTAAGTGAGGAAGGAAGATGAGGAGAATTAGAAACAGATATCTACGAGCTGAATGGTGATAATAATTAACAAAGCGATTAAAAATGAGAAAAACAGAAAGTAATTTGCATGCAATTTGGCAACTGTGACGGAAGATCACAAAGGGCTGATCTTGATCAAGACGAAAGGTCACAGTTATGAAGTTAATGATAAATATGAAAAAACCACGATACATATGACCAAATAATACAATATTAAGAACAATGACGACTGAAGAAAAGTAGAGGAGGAGAAAACTGAATGAAATCGAGATGAATATGACAAAATCAATGAAACAGATGACACAATGTTGATATTGATGACAGATGAAAAGAAAGAGTAAGAAATCGAGACATTAATAATAATGAAAAACAAGGATAACACTAGACTATCAAAAGGCCAATAATCATTATGGTGATAGTAATAAAGGATAACAATAATAAAAATAACAATCAGCTTAACCTTTCATCTGACCACTAACACTACTCGATGCTTCTCGAAATGCGTAATAAAGAACAATAAGCGCTCTGTGGCAACGAACATTATGTTAATGACGGCCACAATAATAGTGTTCCGCAAGAAGAAACTTCAACGTCATTTCAATGTAACATCAAGAATCAGTCGTGTGGATTTTGCTGCACAGAAGCTTTGCAACAGCATCGCATGGACCTTCGATGATGCAAAGCTTACGTCCTATAGCTACCAAGGAGAAAAACGTCATTGATGCCTCTGCGAGTCGTTGAATCTTCGTTCTGCACTGATGAAAAATAAAATACATTAGAAGCATTGTGCCTGACTAAATCCGCTCTGCTCGTTAAGTAGATACACTGCGGCTGCATATGTATATGTATATATGGTCAACGGGAATGTGCCTGTTGTGGATATGGTATCGACCTAGAGATATGTAGATCAGCTCTGACAGGCAGCAATACGACGAGCAAGGGGGCGGAACAGTTGGGCTTGAGATCAACAAGCTCGTTCTTTCTGAAAAAATCACAATGTTCAATGACAGTCCCATGAAGAAGCGAAAGCGACGCTATCTGGAAAAAAAGTTCCCCAATATCAGCATTGCCTTGCGGCTAGAAGAGAAAACTCGAAAAGGAATTACGGGACCAATCATTATGAAATTCATCAGGTCATCTTTAGCCTTATCTAAAAACTTTAAATGCTATGACATGACAAATTAAAGTCAGTCCACATGATAACATTTTGTTGTTCTAACTTTCGACTAACGATAATCGTTTTCATTCATCACATTTCATTATCTGCTATACTCGTGCGTGAATCAGCGGAAAACTACGTGTTTTGGACAACTCACATAGAAAACAAAGAACCAACTCTGCGAAATCAGTGGAAGAGAAAAACCAGTAATGAACACCTTTGGAAGATGGAAAATATTCTTATTCGGGAAATTTCCTCTATGCCTGAGATTGAGAGTTTTCGATTAGTGTGTGCTCCCAGTGCTGTCTGTGGATGTGAAGGGTGGAACCCAAACTTGAAAGCTGTTCACAAGCCGCAGACAACCAACGCAGGAAAGAAAGAAGGCCGTTGGGAATAACAGTATAAGATAGGAAGACGAATGAACTGGTAAAAGCACAAACATCCAGGGAGTGTATGATGTCACTGCTCGAGTGAAGAAGTCAGAGGCGCTGAGCAAGATACGTTACAAGAACAATCGGGCATTGCTGGTCTGAAGAGAAGTTAGACTGGTTTCCAAAAGAGCAGGAAAAATGACTCGCGGGAACACCTTCAGATCGATATCGGGATGAGATGAAGAAGTTCGCTGGATCAAGATGGACGACAGAACGCAGAGGTTTATCGCAAAGAAAGGCCGATGGTTACATATCACCTAAAAAATAACAGAATATAGTACAAAGTTGGCATATTATCCTTTTGTACATGAAATGTTCATATTCTTTTATATACGTAGCTTCTTTTCATCTATATGATGACAATCTGATTCGTTCTTCTGACAATACCTTCTCGCTGAATTACCTTCAAAACAAACGTCAAAAGAAGGAGCATACAACATTTGCATATGACCATGACTGGAACGTCATCAAAAACCTATGCAGTGCAAACCTTTGTAAGCCATACGGTAGTCTTTAACGTACTTCTGAACGAAGACTATTCTTGATGGCTGCTTTATGCTTTTGCAGGGGCGAATCAGCAACAAGACACAACATGCTGCCTTCTTAACCCTGCGAACTAATAACTAATAGAATGCTGAGTGCACCTCGTTTGATTTTGCTTCAACTCTGGGCCTTTGCAAGTCGCAACCTGTTGCACTACGCACATTGCGTAGATAAACTCTTTGATGGTTTAGGCACGTGACCAGAGTGAGAAAGGAAATAACTGTAAAAATAGATGAAATCATCTTTGCAAAGTCCCATGACCAGCAATGAAGCGACAGACTAGAGTGCCACTTAGTGAACTGAATACGTGGCATCGTTACGTTATGGAACAAAGTCTTTAGAGCCATCGGACCATCTGAAAATCTTTCTAAGTCGCGAAGGACGATATCAGGTTATGAAAACGCGGAAGATGAATGAATAAATAAAAGAATGAATGAAAAAATAAATGGATGCACTTCAGACTACCCAAAGATATAAATGATAGGCTTTCGAAGTCCGAATGTGCCGGGTCGGGTTCGAACCCAAAAAGGAAAAATTTCGTGTTAACCATTATTTTCCTCGAGCAATGAATTTATGTCACGCTGCGTCGGAGCGCAATCAACCGAGAAACGGATGGCAATTCGTTGACTTGCCAATAACACGAACAGCAAGGTATTCTGATGCAATCATACAAGCACGGGCAAAAGTTATGACATGGCGTCTAATGCAAGCACCTTTTATGGCAACAATTCGCTTTGACTCAACTGATAACTATCCATTCAGTGTAATTAACACCTGGTGTGACCTTTGACGCTAAAAGTTTCTTGATTGGTGGTTAGCATACCCAAACGCAAGATAACAATCACAATATTTTGCTTAATAAACTATTATGTAATACAATAGGATCGATGTTTCATATTTGGTTATGTTATCGTAACCACGTATCAACAGTTCAGTTGAAATAACTACAGGACTTTTCCTGAAAGTTAGCTAACTGCATATATAGTTTTATTTTTAACACACTCTAACAAGGAAACTGACAACCATCAAACTGGTCAATGCGAATATCGGCAAACAAAGTAAATTTAAAACCTCAAAAAAAGTCATCCCTGAAGGACACGGTTATGAAAGAGACATCGAATCAGCATTCTAGGACAAAACAGGCCAGAAAGCGCCCATAAAATATTGAAACAAAACAGGCAGGAAAGCTATTATATTAAATACTGCATAACAAGTCTAAAAATCTATAATGATCTTGGTCTTATATCTCCTGTCACCTATCCGCAATCGAACGATGTAGGTGCATCGTC